CTTGGAATGTGAAGCTCATCATGGGGTAGGGAAGGTTGGGTGAGTCATTCCCCACACCACCTGGAGGGAGAAGGGCAAGCTAAGGGGCCAAATAAAAAGATGGTTATTAGTCCAAGAGACCTGGCTGAGAGGCACAAGGAGGCAGAACAGAGCTAGGAACAATCAGATGAAGCAGCAATGGACAGACTTTCAGGATCTTTGTTAAAAAAACAAGAACTCTGAGATCTACCAGCCAGAGCCTTGTATAATGAGGCCCAGGCCAAGCTCTGCAGTAAATGCCATGGTGGGCAAGCAGCTGACACTCCTGCCAAGGATTGAGGGCTGGGACCAGCATGATGCGCTTCACCCTGCTTCATGGGAGGACCAGCCCTGCGTACATTTGGAGTTAAGGAATTCGGAGCCCAGGAATGCACACCAGAACTCAGCAGGGTTCAGTTTTGTTTCCTCCCATAGTTAAATCCACTCTCGGTTACCCCGTGCTTTCTTTCTTTTCAGAAATTTAGGGCATTCTGAACCATTATGTTGCTGATATTGTTTTAAAATGGTGAGTCAGACATCCTTGCTGAATGACTGCAATTCATCCACAGATCAGTAGATCCAGATCCACTTTCTGCTCACCACTGAGCTAAAAGCATCTGAGAGTACAGGATGTCTCTTTCTGGAGAACAGCTATAGGTTAATGGACTTGCTAGTTTCTCAAATGCTATCTTGACTGCTATTACGTAAGTATGCTCAACTTGTGTATTTGAATCAAATATGGGGGAGACATCCCCCAAGTTTCCACAATCTTTCCTCCAAAAGGAAGACAGATCCAGGTAAGTGATACCCCTGAAAACATGTGGGAGTCGTGCAACAAATATTTTGCATGAGGGCTAAACTAGGACTGAATAGTGCAACCTCTCAGTGGCACTTGAATTTTGTATTCTGCACACTGTATAGGAACACTTACGGCACAATCGACCAGCCCCTTCCTTCATCATGATGCAATTTTGGAGGCTTGCATGCATCTTCTACCCAGAACAAGGCACAATAACAGAGACTTCTGCCACCATTATGTTGTGCATGTTTTTTATCCAAATAAAGCACCAGAGAGGGGGAGGTAAAGATGCTGAAAGTTCTCCTGTGGGTCATGTCTTCTTGTGGTGTGTCTGAAGTATGACAACTCAGTTTTGTTATTTTTGCTTCTAGGGAAAGCTCTGGCTTGATTTGATCTAGGAAACACTCGTTTGTCTTTTTATTAGTCCGGGGTATTCCCAAAGCTCTCCTCCAATACCATGTTTCAAATGCATTAATTCACCACTGACACCCTTTAAAAAGTTCTCCATTTGTATTTGTTTACAGAAAGTTAAAAAAAGGAGCTAGCTCTTCTGATGTGCTTAGATCACCCTCCCTCTAGTTTTTGGGCCTTCTCACTGATGTGTGTGCGGGATAATATATATTAAGGGATAAATTAATTCAAGAAGAAAAAATGAATTCCAACCACTTGAGATATACAACCAACTCACAGTTATGTCCATAGGATGGAAGTTGCAATCAGATTAGGAGATTTACCTGATCTGAAAAACAGCCAAGAGGCAAGTAAGGAACAGGCTGGCAGTCTGCCATACTAAGGGCACAATTCTGTGCGTGAGTAGAAAGAGAAACAGCAGATGGCCTTGCCTGTAAGAATCCCGTGTTTTTCTATCGAGTTGTCAAAAAGAAGGCATAAAATACTACAGTGCTGCCAATATATAATTATTTGATCACAAGTTGATTATGAGGATATGATGGTGGGAAGGACAAAGGATATATTAGAATGCATCAATAGAAGTGTCACTTTCAACTCCTGTGAATTACTAGTTCCCCTTTACTGGTTAGGTCTCATCTGGACGACTGGGTCCAGTTCTGGGCACCACTGTTGCAGAAAGATGCAGACAAGCTGGAAAGGGTTCAGAGGAGGGTAACAAGGATGATCTCAGGACTGGAAACAAAGCCCTGTGAGGAGAGATTGAAAGTACTCAGCACGTTTAGCCTTGAGAAGAAAAGGTTGAGCTAAGATATGTTACCGTATATATGGTTGTATAAAATTACCCTTGAAACCGAAAATAGCAAAGCAAAAAATGGGGGTTGTCTTATACACCTGACATATGACAAACACCAGAAAAACAGCCCAAAATATCAACTTCGCCTTCTATGTGAGCTGCCCAATACGTCAGTATATACAGTAGCACGTACAATACTTGAAAGGCTGTCACAAAGAGGAAGGCCAGGATCTCTTCTGGATCATCCCAGAGTGCAGGACACGGAATAACAGGCTCAAGTTGCAGGAAGCCAGAATCTGGCTAGCTATCAGGAAAAATGTCCTGACTGTTAGAGCAGTACGTCAATGGAACCAATTACCTAGGAACCTGGTGGGCTCTCCTACACTAGAGGCATCCAAGATGCAACTGGACAACCATCTGAGAGGGATGGTATAACACAGAGTATAGAAGTGCAATAAACAAACAGTAGTAAGCTGAAGTCCTCCCATGAGCAGGGGGCTGGACCTGCTGGCTGCTTCCAACTCTACTGTTCTATGAATCAGTAACTGACGAGATCTCACAAGCCACCTTATTGTCTCTATCCAAAATGGAAATTGCAAACGTGAGCTCCCTGGCCAATCAGAGTGGTCATGTATATGCTTTTTGATGACGACAACATTTTTAATGGTCTTTAAACATCAAAGCAATTAAATAATCAAAACACAGGGATTGTCCTTAACACAGAAAGACAGTTGAAACGCATAGGAGCGATGGGAAGAGGAGAATGTGAGGCCGCAGAGACACCCAGGAAGCAGGCTCAAAGCAACAGAGAAGGGCATGCATACCAGATGTGCCGGCTGCCCTTTGAGTGGTCTTTTCTTTCGTATGAAGACTGGTCTCCTCCTTCAAGAACTACAAAGTAGATAATTACTGTTGTGAGAGAGAGAGCTTTTTAAAACAGTATGTGGAAGTGGGGACAGATCATGTTAGCAACCATTTGACAATATAGCTTCAACTGACCCACACTCCCTCCCTCCCTCTCTCCCTCCCTCCCTCTCCCTCTCCCTCTCACACAGTGTGCTTAAATTGGTTTGAAATACAGCTCTGCATTTATCTTGGCTGCATTAACAAGATCTGTTTTACCAATACATTTATATTTATGACGACTAAGGGCAGATTATAGCTGTTAAAGTTGGTCCTCCTGACATGAAAACACTACTTTGTCATTAATACATTTTCTAGTATAAACTGTGATGTCAGGTCAATGGAAAGGGTGAAAACTTTCCTAAAGTATGCACACATCTTTTTTTTTTCCAAGCAATTGAGCCCTAATGGAATAACAAAAGGTCATAATAACAAACCATTACAGCTTTGGTCTTGGCAACTAGGCCCACAGAAAAATCTCCAAGAAACAGTCATCATTTCTCCAATGTTATGGCATGAGGATGACAGGAAGGGTACACAGATGGGAGCGCAGCACGGCAGTAGCTATGTGAAAGCTGAGCGATCAATTAGTCCGTTGTTTACCAAAGACTTTCCTAAGTGATGCTAAGCAGAGCTCCATGAAAGAAAGAAGATCCCAACGGTTGTCCTAGGAAGCCCACAAAGCTTTTCGCAGACTGCCTTATTCAGTCTGTCATTTCAAATGATCCGAGAAAGCTAGATGCAAAAATGGTCGGTTTGCACAAGGCCAATGCCTTTGTCCTGCAGCTCATGGCAGCATTTCCTGAAGAGCACATCAGCAGAGAAGAAACCGGAGAGGAAACCTCTAGGTGCATTACCATATATAACCCAAAAGGCCCAATGTGTTTCTGTTAGCTATTAATGAATTGTTTTGCATCAAAGTACTAGAGAATAAGAACACGGGATCCCTGAAATCAATGGATCATGACTGAGCAGTCACAATGAGATTAATGGGTCTACCATAAGTATGACCAAGTAGGGATCCAACCCAGTTCATGCTAGTCACAGGCAGTGCACTGGCCAAAGGCATGATTGCCTTGAGATCAATCATTTGTCCTTGAATCTGTGCACTGCCGCATTTCCTGCTCCTCATATCTATAGTTATATTGGGACAAACTGGTGAATAAGAATTGGTATAAAACTTGAGGACTGTACATCTGTGCTGTAGCAATTCCTTAATATTTCATTGTATACTTACTGCCTATTTCTATATTTTTGTGTGGTTCTTTAAAATCCTGTATAACATTTTGAGAATATTCTCTCTTGAAAGGCAACCGCAAAATAGTTTTAAATAAATTAAATTTATTAAGAAGCAATTCCCTTTCTGTTCAAATGATTTGGTTCCTTAGTAAGCGTTTTGGCATTGCAACCTAACAATGTAATCCAATATTGCATCACTGAGCTCAGTGGTGAAAAACGTGTCTCCTAAAGTGATCTATGCAGGCACTAATGGGTAAGGACAACCTGCAGAGTCAAACACCTCAGTGAGAAACCAAGAACAAAGCGGACACCCTCCTTTCTATCTGTTTGCATTCTAGGAGCTTCTTTGCCTGGCATGCCATTACATTTGCCTTCCGCTTTAACCTAGAGAATTTCTGAGAGTAATTTTTGAGCTGATACACAAACACTTGCCAGTGTTGCTTGTATCGTATTTCCCCAGAAAGGCTAATAGACTAGCACAAGGTCACCTTGTAAACTTCAGGGGAGTGTGGATGGAGATTTAAACCTGGATCTTCCCATCCTAGAACAATATTTCCACCACTGCACCATGTGGTCTCAGTAGATTTGTCCATTAGAGAAGGTCTCTCTGTGTTGGAAGATACTATGAGTTTTTTTAGGTGTCATCTGAAGTCAACTGCATAAGCAGCTTTCAGAAAACACTGGAAGGTTATGTTCAAAGTTTGGCCATTTCCATGCATGGTACAGTGCGCAATGAAATTTGATTCTGCATAAACATGTTTGAACTTACAGTGTTAGGAATGCCTGAGTGGCTTGAAATAGTATATAAACACAAGAGCCACCTGCTTGTAAAGCAAATCACAATCCTTTAACATTTATTTGTTCATTAAATCCAAATGACTTCATGAATGTGTGCTATCTGTTTCTCTGGACAGACAAACTTACCAAGCAGACAATTCATCTTATCATAATCTTTCTATAATTATCATAGAAAATCACATCATCCAATTGTTTCTCCAAGAGACAGAGCCTTCTCTGTAGTGGAAAATTATTTATTATCTATCACATTTCTATACTGCCTATCAGCTGAACCTCTCTGGCCTAAAACATTAGATCCGAATGTTTCTAATTCATAATTCAACATTATGTTCTATATAGGTGAAATCCATGTATCTCACCTTTCCAAAGCACAGGTTCAAAATGGGTTACAACAACACAAAAAAGTTAAAAATGTGAAAGCACATTTAAAAACTTTTAAAAACACACATTTGTGATCGAGGACAAAAGCGTATCACCGACAGAGTGCACCACTGCCTACAGTAGCTTAAGCCACATTAAATGTGTCAGTCTTTAAGGTACCATCGACCATTCATTATTTTTCATATACGTTCCAGCATTTTGAAATATCAGTTTTATGTTTTATTACTAAGAAATTATCTGGTAACTGCAAATAAATCTGTATGAGATTAGAATGAAAATATTTTTGTCTAAGAAATGTAAAAGCGGAACCAGAGCACAAATTAACCAAAATTACCAACAAACTTTAAAACAAATAGTCCTCCTCTCCTAGAAATCATCTCCCCTCGCCCACCACACACCCTAACATTCAATTATTTTGTACACTGGGTCTCCAACGCTGATGGTTCCAGTTTTATCAACTCCAAAAAATCTTCCAAATAATGGAGCAGATTTGTAGATGTGCTGCTCTGCTGGATCACACAAACGATAGCTGCAAAGAATTATTCAGTGAATTACTCAATGAAATTATGGCAAGAGACCAGCTTTTAATATACTTCACTTAAAATCCCTAGTGAGTTTCTATGGAATGTAAAAACATTTGTTTAAAATATTTACACCCCACATCCTATTTAAGCATTACCACAGCAGTTTATAGATTTTAAAACAACAGAACACTGTAAAAGCAGCACTATTTACATGACATCAGAATCTTGTTGGTGTATATTATATACTATATTACAGACATTATTACAAAGAATTCCTAAGGCAAAGCTTCAAACAACTTATGGAGCAATTCCATACATGTTAATCAATTAGTTAGGGAAAAGAAATAGGTTTTTAATGAAAGCTGAAAGTCCATTGCTCTCATTGCCTAATTGATCACAGAGAATCAGTTATTCCAGAGGAAGAGTGCTAATGAGAGAAAGCCCATTGCTATGTGACTCCCAAATGAGACTCCAAAGGACAGGGATGGCCAACCAGTGTCCCGCAGGCGTCATCTGGCCCATGGAGGTCCCCCATGCAGCCCCTGGAGGTGTTTTGAAGGCTTTAAGAATATGCCAAATTCAAAGCCAAAACCCAAAGAAACAAAAGCAGCAAGCAGAACATAAAACATTGCAATTTCCTTACATGAGATTTCAGCACATTATTTACATGCATATATACTATGTGCCCCTATATATTTTATACAGTGGTACTTCAGCTCACAAACGCCTCAGTTCATGACCAAATCGGGTCGCAAACAGAAATTTCATAAAAATTTTGCCGCAGGTCCTGAACTCCGCGTTGGGTGATGATCACGATCACACCCGTCTTCCCCGCATAGGCAGGATCACGGTCGTGCTCGGGGGGGGGGGGGAGATGGCCACGATCATGCTGGGGGTGGGGAGATAGCCACGATGTTTGTTGTTGTCACTTTGCTTCAAATTTGTGTGATTAAAAAAAATGGTTATAGAACAGATTAACCTTATGTACACTGATTTTTATGGGGAAATTCAACTTGTCTCACAACCAATTTGGGTTGCAACCAGAGTTGTGGAACAGATTAAGTTCATAAGCCAAGGTACCACTGTATATAGCAAGATATACTATTAGCCAAGATATTCATGTGTAAAATTCAACAAAGGCAGCCCTGTATCCATGTATTTGCCCATTGATAGAGTATTCCTAAAAACTGCCAGTTTGAAAAATGAAAATTTTGTCAAGTCTTCCACCCATTCTGTCATTGCAGGTGGCTGTTTCTTTGCACTGTTGTATTATTAGTCTTTTCGCTGTCAAAAAAGCACAGAAAACCCACTTGCACTTGACCTTGCATTAAGTTCCAAGAACCAGGCAGACAGTTAAGAAGAACGTGAATATCCGTAAATATTAAAGAACTTCCCATCACAAAAATTATCCTATCTATAACCTCCCCCTAAAAGAAAGCAACCATTGGGACTGCCAAAACATGGAGTAAGAGAAGTCTTGGCTGTATTACATCTCTAACAGTTGGCTGATTTCATTAAGGTCTTGCTGAAGAGATGCTGTGGCATCCAGTATACTTGAAAAAGCTATTTTTGCAAGTAAACTCAGCCCCAGTTCTATTGCCCCTTCTAAAATAGACACCAATGAAGCACTCCATTGATGAGGCAGAATAGGAATACTCCAATTCATTATTCCACTCTGAGCATCCACAGCTGCACTGAACTTTTCATGGCTGTGTACTTGGCTGTCAAGTGGATTTCAGCCCAACACAGATCCCCTCTGTGCTTCCTAGTTTCCCATGTGCTTTCTTGAATCCTATTGCTATATGAGCTAATGGCACATTTGCAGTTCATTGTTGTTGAGAAGAGACGAAATATTTGGGTGTGTTTGCATCAAGGATGCCCCTCAGTTGCATGTCCTGCTTTGGAGGAGTTGCACTGCAATGGGTGATGGCAAAACAGGGACAGCAGCTGGAACTGGGAGCGTGGAAAGTGATCCCGTCTTGGCCTTATATAAGAAATCAATGGTGTATTTTGCCCACTTCATCCGAAGCAGGAATAGACAGGAAAAGAATAGCTGGCTGAAACTTACAAGGGGAAAGGTGTTTAAGAAGCAGGGTCTGTAAAGTCCCACTGCTGAGATTACATATCCTAAATTTGGGCTTCCCATAAGCAGATCTTGGTGACTCTGTGAACAGCTGAACTAGATGGCTCTTGATTTCATCATCGTGGGTCTTCTTACGTTCTTAAGAAAAAACCAAATGCATGACAGTCAAATGTATTTCAGCACCATCACTTCCATCAAGCAAGACCTTCAGTAGCTTCTCTTTATAACTTCTTCTTACACCAAATATACAGAAGTGAGTGAAATTACTTAATATTGAATTTCAAGGACTTGAGAAAGCAGAAACATCATAAACAGCCCAATATGAAGGGCAACAAGAAAACTGGTTTGCTGAACTTTCTCTTCCACCCAGCATGAAACACATTAAATATAAAACCGGTCACTTTCACTAAGTGAATCCAAAGAACAAGCTTGTCTGAAAGGGTCCAACTTGTGAATGGATTCTGCTGCCACCATACTTTCAAAAGGGAAGAGATGCTTTGCTGGTCCAAAGAGCTAGAATCCAATTAGACTATTTTATCTTGCTGGCTTCCAACACACCAACAACTACAGATCTTATTAGAACGTGGGGGAAATGGTTTCTTGAACTTATAGGCTTCAATTCACTTAGATCTACTTAGACCCAGATAGTTCAGGATCTCATAAGAGGCTAAGAAACCCCCCAATTATATTTGTATTTTTTTATTTGTATTTGTATTTGTTTGTATTTTTTAATTTAATGTTATAATTATTTTTTAACTTAACGTTGTAAGCCGCCCCGAGGCTTCGGCGAATGGGGCGGCATAAAAATGTTTTAATAAATAATAAATAAATATATGAGTTTGTTTCAACAGTCCCATGAATCTAGTGTTTTATGCGATGCAGTTGCAAGCCTGTAGCTGTCACATCGACTCTGAAACCCAAGTGCTGAATCTTCCATCCTGACTCAAATGTGCAGCACGAAGAGGGCAGAAAGAGTTAAAAACAACCTTAAGAACTTCTTGGGCTACCTTCTAATTTATTTCTATAGCTGCTACAGTATTGTCAAATAACTGATGGGGGTGCAGGGGTGAGAATCGCTTTTGCTGTTTAGACATCTTAGAGATAGAGTAGTAAGAGAATTATTTTCTTTTGACCATTTACCTAAAGCAGATTTAGTGCCCTGTCATGCTAAACTCTCCTCCACGCAAGCATAGAAGGCACTTTGCATTTGCCAGATCCCTGGGATAATTATGGAGGACACTCCTGTGCCCAAATTTATGGTGCCCCCCTTGAAAGTTTCCACTCCGTTATATTTATAATGGCTTAAAGGCTCAGTATAATCCTGGACTCTGCTGCAAAAGACCTTCAAGCTTTATTACAGCCAATGTAGATGGATGCTGATCTATGACAGGCCAGATGACAGGCAGGTGACCTGGGTGATCCTCTGTGTTGTGATTAGGCCTGTCAACCAATCAAAGAATTATTAGTCGATGAATAGGCTTAAAAGCAGATGTTTCAGTAACCAATAAAATTAAATACATTTGTGTACTACCAACAAGCATGAGTGCTTTTTTGAATTACTGAAGGAACTATAAGAAAAATATAAAAGAAATGAAATTAGAAATAGAAACGAAATGTTGTCCATGGGGATGCAAAGAGTCAAGTACAACTTTGTGACTGAACAACAACAACATATTACAAAACAAACTTTTATTAATAAAAGTTAGAAACATAGAAACAAAGCGAGTCGGAAGGGGTCTCCCGGGCCATCTAGTCTGACCTCCGGCACCAGCTACTATTCAGTATGTTAGAATTTCGTATGTTCATATGTATTTCATATGTTCTTTAACATTTCCTGTTCCGGTATTTTATCAGAAACAAAACAGCCATTAAAAACCCTGTGTGCACTTAATTTTAAGACTGGGTGATTAAAATGGCCTACAATAATCAACTAAAGCTCAATTCAGCCAGCCCGAGTGTGGAGTAGCACAGAAAAGTAATGAATAATTAAATAATAGGCAGGGGGCAATTTTAATGAGTGATGTAAATGTACTTATTCGACTGCACTTCCATGATATTGAGAAAGTCCGTTCATTTTCTGCTCTTTTAAGCACGCTGTACTGAACAGCACTTGCAAACTTGAAACAAAAACAGCTACATGTCCTCCTATTTCTGTTAAAATTTGCTTCTGTGATATGCGGGGTAGCATCTAACTGTGCCCCAGAGTGAGTCCTAATGACACCACATTTCTGCAGCAAACCGCCACTTTTCCCCCAGTGCCCTTGCACTAGGTGTGTTGCACAGGCACTGGCTTCTACTAGCACCCTCTGGTGAATATGAGCACCGCAGCCCAGTTATGGTACCACCCTCTGTCTGAAGGATCGCGCATGATCGGCCAGCTGGGGCCTCTAGCTCACATGGAGAGCTTTTCACCAGATCCAGTCGTCACTGCAGATGACCAGTGCTTTCACTGCTATTCTGTGAGTGGCTGCTGGAGCCAGGTTCCCCGCTTTTCTCTTTCAAAACAACAGACCATTCCTTGGCAAAAGCTCCTTATTTCCAATGTACATCTAGCATACTATAGCCTGTGAAGAAAGAGTTTCTGAGCATGCTCAGAGCAGCTTGTTGAACCCAAACTAGAAACTATTTCCAAGGACCCTCTTTTTGAGCAATCCTGGATCCCACCTTTCTGGAAGTGCCTCTCTGGAGACGGGCAAGTTTTCTAGCTGTACGCAGCCCCTCTAGTTGGGCAATGCTTCTCTCCCAACACTGTATCATGGGGTCAAGGATCATACCCGGCTCATCTCACTCCCATGGCTCGTCTCTCATGTCCCCTCCCAGCACTTGCAGACTGTGATGGTTCTCCAGAACACCTGGAAATGGCAGCCTTGAGATAAGCTCTTCTGTCCCCACCACCTCCTTGTCCGGAGGCCTCATTTCCCAGGCCTCATCCTCCACATCCTCCAGAGCCTGTGTCACCCCGGCCCTGAAACCCACAGCAAGAACAACTGCCTCTTTTATTCCCAACAGTAACCAAGAAAAATCACAAGAAGCAGCACTCAACATTATGGAAGCTCTCCAAACAAAAACTGTTTCCCACACAGGTTAGCACAGAGTCACCACTGGAACACATCAAAATTTGGTTTCACTGATGTATAACTTTACAGGATTCTGAAGCCATGCATGAGAGGACTGAATCTTGCCAGTGGTGTCCGGATGACTCTTCTCATGCTGCCTTGTTCCCGCTTTCTGAGCACCAGTTTCATGAATAGTGAAACTGCGACTCAGGAAAGTCACATCATCAGTGGTGGCACATCTTAATATCCCAAAGCGAAATTAAGAAGGAAAAAAAAACCTGGACAGTACAAGCCTTCGAATGCTTACTCAGAAGTATGCCCAAATGAATCCCTTCAAGTTATGTACCCCCATTTAATCTTCACTGTAGGACATAATCCACAAAGTCCAATCAAGGTAGACAGTAAAGGAAATAAATATTATTCAATGGAGTTAAAACATTTATCTCTGTGTTTCTTAAAAGAGTTCAGAATGGCTAACATCAAAATTAAAACAAAAACAAACAAAAAAAAACCCTAATAACAATTACAAGAATATTAAGGGAAGATCAATTCAATGTGGTTGCCCAGAATCCTCTTGGACTACCTTCTACTAGCTAACCTAGGAGGTTTATGGACAACCTATCAAGGGTGGAAGGTATGGGGAGGCAAAGGTGGCTGCCACACCCCTCCTGCCCTGCTAAAAACCTAGACACCTAATGTTGGTTGTCTACGTCTTTTGCTTCAGAGCACGAGGGAAAAAGGTTGTGGTAGTACCAGGACATTATGTACATGGCAGACCCTCTCTTCTCTCTTCCCTGCCCCCAGAACACCCACAAATCCTCAGCTCCAAGGTCAGTCATCTGGCCTTAAGAGCCACAGCAGGTATGGTTCCTTCCACATGGGCTGTGAGGGAGGAGGGAGGGCACGCCAATGTCAGAGTACCAGCTCTGACCTCACAATGAGTTTCTGAGATCACAGATTGGATGCTAACCTCTCATATGGCCTAAGTCTAGTGAACATATAATTGCTCCCTCAGACAGTCTTAGAATAAACAAAATCAGCACTCAGCAGCTCAGCAAACACTATTTTTAAAAAGAAGAGACAGTTAAATAAGCAGACCAATAAAATAAACCAAAAGCCTTCCCCAGAAGAAAGGATTTTTTAAACTCCAAAAGGCCATTAAACAGGGGGCAAGACGTTCCTCACTCAGAAGAGAGAGCCAAGCTTTGCCATGGCCACAGAAAACACCCTCTGCCTGGTCCTCACCAAACAAAATTTTGGGGACACTCAGTTAAATAAAGGGCTTCCGAAGATAATAGGCAGGTGGGCTCATATCCTGGCCCTGAACCATTCTGGGCTTCGAAGGTGAGCAGCACCAGAGCGGCAGCTGGGGCCACTGATTCACCTTGGGGGTCACATGCTCCCTATATGCGGTTAGCTCTCTTCTCACCACATGCTGGACTAACTTTAGGTTCTGAATGCTCTTCAAAGATCACAATCCAGGCAAGATTCAATATACTACCATTGCCAGATCTGCTCTCTGGCTGTTGCTGGTCACACAGACATTTTACCCTGAAATTATAGGCTGCATTTTTAAACTTTGAAAAGTGATACAGAGGTCAATCCTTTACAAGTTTGTTATTGTTGAGTTGTTGTTTGTTGACTGTTGTTGTATAGTCATCTCTGACTTATGGCAACCCTATAAATGAAAGCTCTCCAAAGCTTCCACTCCATGACAGCCCTGCTTAGCTCTAGTAAATTCCAGCCTGTGGCTTCCTTTATGGATTCATCAATCCATCTCATATTTGGTCTTCCCTTTTGTCTTCTGCCTTTGAATTCCCCTAGCACGATTGTCTTCTCCAATGACTCTTGTCTTCTCATGATGTGTCCACAGTAGGATAGTTTCAGTTTTGTCATTTTTGCCTCAAGGGAAAGCTCTAGCTTGATTTATTTTAGGATGCTCTTGTTCACTTTTCTACCAGTCCAGGGTATATGAAAAGCTCTTCTCCAGCACCATGTTTCCTTAGCAGTAAGTCTCACTGACCTCAATGGACATATCTGCAAGTAACTGCACACAGAGCTGCAGGAGCAGGGCAGAAGCAGGTCACACTGATCTGCCGATACCGCGCTCACACATGTAACTGCTAACAACTAGTGCCATGTGTTACCTTTTCAGAGTTTCCAGGGGCTCTTTTCTGTCCATGATGCCAGTATCTGGGTCAACGGTTGTTAAAATGCACCTACAAAGACAAACAAGGTTTTGTAGGAAATGTGATCATACTGTTGGATGTTCTTCTAGCCAGCCACACACTGACCTGTCACATGCCATCACTCCTTCCATTTCCACATCCCCAATTATAATCTTCTTCCAGGTGTCCTAAGGAGAAATCATCAACAATTTAGACTTCCAAGGTGCCTCATGCGGGTCAGAGAAAAACCTCTTCCATCTACTGAACTGCAGGTGTTTCAACTGAATGGAAATGCATGTTTCTCCTGAATGCAGCTAAACCACTGGACTGTTAGGGCAGCTTTCACAGGCTAATCTTGCCAGCCACAGGAAGTCCCACCAGCGGCACCCATGACACCAACCATCACCCGTTTTTAAAGCATTCAAGAGCAGCGGACCTTGTGATGGTCCACTCCAGCAGGCAATCACCCTACGGACTGCCTCCCTGGGGAGCAAGTTCGTAGACCCCCCCCCGCCCATTCTTTTGACGTACTGGATGGCTGCCAAACTCAAGTCCATGGAGATTGTCGCCTCTCAGCAAGATCCCCAGGTTTTCTTGGGGAGGGGCAAATTTCCTTGGACAGTCCTCCCAGGATGCCACAGCAGGAATTGGTAAAATTAGTAGGGAGTCTCCAGGGGTGTCTCCCACTGAGGGCATTCCACACCCATCCCAGGAATCCCGCCCCCCCAAAGTTGTACATGTTTCTGGAGTGGTATCACATCAGGAAGAGTGGGAAAACGAAAGAGAACCTTGGGAGACATGGACTCCTCTAAAACTCCAGATTCCTGTATAAAAGGAGCACTTGAGATCCCCTTTCTAATGCACCAGCACCTAGAGTGGATTCACAGGGGCCCACTGTTTGTTTTCAGCAAGGATACAGACTGCTGCAATTCCCCAGGGTGCGGGGGGGGGGGGGGGATAACTGCTAACAAAAGGAGCAATCTTTCCCACCAGGAAATCCCTACTGATTCTGCATGTTTCCAGGATGGACTTGTCTTAGGAACAGTGGAGGATCCTCCATTTGGGCTCCCCACAATACCTCAGGGACCTCGCTGCAAGAAGGGAGCAGTTTCACAGGCAACTGTCTACACAGACTGCATCAGCCAGTGTCCTCAGCTGCCCATTAGCTATTCCCGAGTCCTGATTGCCACTCTGTCATACCTGAGATCACCCACAGTTGTACAAGGTGGCAGTAAAAAATTAAATTAGTTTTAAATTTTGCAAAAATTAATGGCTAAAAATAAAAAAATAAAAATACAGGGAGTCCCTCTGAGATGCCATTGAGGCACCTTGGAGTGACTGCTCATGTTTGGCAAAACTGGGATCATAAAGGGCAACACAGAGATGAAAAAAATAAACTGAAAAAAGCCACAGCAAGACTAATTTGGCTTGTAACCAAGTTCATGGACAGCAACCCAGCCTAAACAACCCCTACTGCAGACCATGGGTTGGCCAGTTGCTTTAGAAGCCAAAAATGACCCACCCTGACAGACATGCTTCTGGTTCACATGACACACCAACCCATCATGGCTTAAAAGCCATGATAGGTAGTTGTGTTGTACAAACCCAATTAGTTAGCTATGTGAACTTTTCTTCTAAGCTGGAAAGGCTGGTTTTGACCTTTGTTGTTGTTATTGTTAGTCACTAAGTCGTGAAAGACCCAGCATGACCCCATGGACAACTTTCCTCCAGGCAGTTTTTACCTTACCCCAAACCAAATTCCTATGATCAATTCTGAAGTTGAACAGGCACTAAAAAGTGGACCTTTCCACCCCTGATTTCATGTGGCGATGTGATTTTGTGATGGAGGTCTCTCATCCCCATGGTAAAACAGCAAGTCAGCACTTACTGACACAGGCTTACAGAAGAGAGTTATTTTCAAGGACCATTTTGTGCAGGGCTGGTGCGAGGCATTTGCCGGATACTTGTAGGGGCAGGGAAGCCTAGAGACCCTGGGAGTGTCACTGGGATGCTGAAGGACTGAACTACCTGTGCCACACAGCTGCCCCTGCATCTCCTAAGCCAGCCTGCTTCTCTCAGGTGCAGTGTGGGATGCTCTCCTGTTCCCAGAGTAAAAAAGAACAGCCAGACGAGGCAGCTTCTGTAAACCACATTCAGCAGGGGCTGAATTTGTCCTTCACTTTATCCTTCACTTTGAGCAGCAAAAGGTCCTGTGCCCGACCACCTGATGCAACATCCCAGCTCCACCTGGAAATGCGAAGGATCCAACCTGGGAAATTCTTATGCAAAATGTGTGCTTTATTGCCAAGCTACAGTCCTTTGAAAACAGTCTCCGAAGGAAGCCATGGGCAAGCTAGGGACTTGTGTTCTCCCACAGCTTAATGTGGACAAGGATAAAGAAAAAAATGGACATTTCTGTCACTCTAGGCAGGATAGGTGCTAAACAATATTGCTGCTATCTTCTTTCTTCTATGCTTATTTGTTACAGCAAAAACAACTAAGAGTCATTAAAGAGTAAGGAGTTTGCCATGGCTCTCTGGGACCATATTGTTGTGTTTCTGCAGCTGCAATCCTCTGCAGCTGCAATACCAAAGAAGCAACAAAATTATCCTGTTCTCCTGCTTTCAGTTATTGCTCACTGAGCATGAAATCCCTTTGCCAAGGCGCCAAAACTGCTTTTCATAGGCTTCACCACAAGATGGCAATATTCCCCATACAAGCGTAAAGCAAACTAATCCTGAGCCCCCCAAATGAGCCTCCTTAGGACCTCGGCGTGCATATTCCAAAACATCAACACCAGAACTTGAACTTACCATACCAATAACAATTAATTCCTTGTGCTGGGTGTGATTTATAAGTTTACCCTTATGTCAGCTTAGAACAGGAGAGTGTGACACTTATGTAGCTCTCCCCTTCCTACTTTCAACACCAGTCTTTTCTTATTCACATAAGAAAAAGTGATTCCAAGGAGTAAATATTTAAATGCTGACAGCTTTCTCATGATTAGAGAAAGCTACATTTCTTATGGGGAAAGTAACACGTGAGACCTGTCTTGATTCTGTTGCCTATTTAACTTGTGACCCTCCCCATTGTCCCCATCTAGAACGTCTACTCAGTTTCCAGAGCTACCATCCGGTCTGTCTGGCAGGATCAGCCAGCATTCACACCAGAAGCCTCCTGAGTTGTGCCCAGGGCCCCCTTCCAGTGAGTTACCTGATACTGCAGAGTAAAGTAAGAGATAGCAGTGTCCTCCTGGATCGTTGGTTCATCTTGTCTTAAAACAGCTACAAATGCTGCCAAGTTAGTCCTGACTAAAGCACTTCCATGGGCAAAAGTTGGTCTTGTCTGTGTAAGTCCTGTCTTTCTCTACCTTTTCTACTCTGCCTCTGTGCTTCTCCCCATAAGATGCTTAGCCAAGTGCTTCACTGAGTTTGCTTCCTTCATTGTCTTAGCAGGAGTAAAAGTGCATCCTTTCCACATGGATTTTTTCAGGGCATTTTCTTTAAATGCATGTTCTATTACACAATTGCAAGGCGTTGCTGTGGTATGGCACAGCTGCCAAAACACACAAAATACCATTTTTTGTTTCAGCCAAAAGAAAGCTGATTATCCTTCTTTAAAAAGAGCAAAACAGGCTGCAAAACATGGGAGAGATCCAGGAAAAGGACAGCATAAGCTCGCAAACTACCTTGTGTGGCTTTTAGCACTGCACCTAGTTAGGAGCCTCCTGTCACTCCAATCTGCCACCCTCCTTTTCCACCTATCTGCCCTCTTGCCTGGGGCCTTCCTATAGCATCCTTCCCTGCCCACAGTTAACTAGATTCTTCAGCTTAAACCACTACTTTCAAACCACCCCAGTGTCTATTATTATCCTTCAACTACCTTGCTGTGAAACTGCTCCCTGTGCTGTGCCTAGACTTTCTAGAGTCTTACCATGACCTTGCCTGAAATTTTCAAGGACCTGCACCTTCCATCCTCCACATGTTCCAGGGCTGACCCTGCGCTACCTTCACTTGCTGGTCAAGATGTGAATGGATTATTCCATCTTCAAACAAAACTATGGTCTTTTGAACTGGTACAGATGAGATGGGTATTTACACAAACACTATTTCTCTATTGCACACTGCACCTCTCCCCATTATTACAATACTTAGAATAGTAGAGTTGGAAGGGGCCATGAAGGCCATCAGGACCAACCTGCCCAGAGAGCCTTATGGCTAATGGGCCAGGTTAGAAATTTAACAAATAAATAAAATAAACCCCCTACTGTTGCAGGACACCGATTTACACCATCCCACTCAGATGGCTGTCCAGTTTCCTTTTTTACTGTCTCTTCCGTGGGAGAGCCCACAGCCTCTGTAGGCAGCTGGTTCCACTGCCATATTGCTCCGATAGTGAGGAAACTTTTCCTGATGTCTAGCCTGAATCTGGGTTGCTGCAACTTGAATTGATTATTCCGTGTCCTACACTCTGGTATCAGCAAGAAGAGATCTTGACCTTCCTCTTTGTGACAGCTTCTGAGGTACTTAGCATGTCTCCCCTCAGTCTTCTCTTCTCAAGCCTGAACATGCCCAGTTCTCCCAGTATGTCCTCATAGGACAGTGTTTCCAACCCTGGATCATTTTTGTTGCCCTCCTCTGGAACCTTACTAATTTTTCTGTATCTTTCTTAAATCTTGGTGCCCAGGACTGGACGTAGTATTCCAGATGAGGTCTGACTAATGAGGAGTATAGGGGAACTACTACTTCTCATGATTTGGAAGTAATAATTTTGTTAATGCATTCCAAAATAGCATTTGCCCTTTTTGCAGCTGCACCACATTGTTGGCTCATATTTAATTAATTGCACTCCAAGATATAATATGCTATGCTATAACTCAGAACTTTTCCTAATACTCTCAGAAAAATGTGCATTCTTTGGAAGAATTTTTTAAAGACTTGTAAGGAACAATGACTTTTTCTTTACCTCTTCAAATGCACTGCAGCCTGAAACTGTGATGTTTGGTCTAAAATGCCACATACTTATTTTCTTCTCCATTCTAGTATTTAAATTTTCCAGTGAAGCTTCTGAGATGAGCAAGACTGGAGCACAGTCATTATAGGGAACCTGTTGGAAAAAAGTGGACATATTACCAAGGGCCCATAACATGGGTAGGCAACCTATTGCTTTACAGACCTTTCCTGTAATAGTAAGAGTTTATGGAGGTTGCGGTCCAAACATATAAAGAGCACCAAGTTGTCTATTCTATATGTCTACAAGACATTCATTAGCTACTTGTTGAATGCCTGCTTCCTCTGGCAGTTCATATACCTCTGAAATATTTGTTTTTATCAGGGTGTTCTATAACTAGAATCTTAAACAACTGCATTGCCTTTTTTATTACTGGAATTGCAAAGTCGCACAAGTTGACAAGTCCACAATCTTTTTACGCTTAGAAAGCACACAAGACTTTGCCAGATTCAGGTTATCCCATGCAATTACTAACCTGGAAAGACCAAACACCAAAAAAATGGTGTTCATAGCAACTAACAATATTAAGATCAGAATAAAACAAAAATATAATTAAAACAGTCATTAAACCAAATAAATGAAAAGCACAATCAAAAGCACAAGACTGGACTAAATCAAAAGCAACCAACCAATATTAGTAATTTAAACAATGTTTCAGCAGTGGGTCAGTTTACATTGCAAAAGCCAGTTTGAATGAACACATCTTTGCCTGCCACTAGACGGGCAACAGATGGGGAGCCAATGCAAGCGGTGCTGTTGGTGCAACAGCTGTTGGTCAAGAGCAACAAGGGATTCTTGCTGCTTTTCCCAAGCAGCTCACTAGATGTTGGATCTCGCTCACAGCAGGTCATGCCAAACAACCCCACAAACTCATCACAGGGTCCACAACCCCAGAATAGCCTGTGGGTTCTCAGGGTAGGTTGATCTGAAAAAGCAGCCCATCCTTGGTGAGCCACGCTGTGTTCACATGATCCAACAGCCCACCTGGAATATTAGGCCATGTGGGCTGTTGTGCATCCAAACCCAGTCAATGACAAAGTCTCATTACAGGGTACCACCATAGCTTCCATCCTAGGGGCAGCTCCCTGAAAAGCTGCTAAAGTGGAAATGACCGAGGGAAAGATACTTCAGGAGAAAAGTACCCAGTTAATGTGGCACCTGAAAACACTGAAAAGCTTTCAGAAATGGAACGAGATCATTTTGCTGCTGTCCTTTGCTTCTGCATTACCAAAAAACCCTTTAAACCTCGGGGCAGTGCCATGATGGACATATGCTACCTCCAGGAGCAGCTTGGTTCTTAATACCAGTTTCTTGGGAAAAGCAACAAGACCCTCCAAAGTTGTTTGTGGGCTTCCCATGAATGCCTGATCTGCAATTGTAGGAGTGTCCGATCTCCTAGAGTAGTTAATCTGCTAGACTGCTGAACTAGTTAAACTTTGGTCAGCTCCAGCAGGTCTTTGTTCTTTAACAATATAATCCAATCTGGATGCCCATAGTCCTCCAAACTTGGAGGATTATGTGACTCTGCATTTCTCTCCCACTATAAAATAGCTAGATGTCCAGTTTTAACTGTCTAACTGTGGTGCTTCAGAGCAGGAAGGAAGAAAGGTGAAGGAGCATCAGGATACCTGATATTGTGTCAGCACCAGATTCTTCCTCTCCTTGCCACCTGGAATGCACACTCAGCACCTTCTTCTAGGCTGCAGCCTCAGAGAAGCAACCAGTGCTGTTCTTTCTGCACAAGCTGTGGACGGAGGAGTCACTCCAAGCTCTGAGTCCAACCTCCAGCCTCAAAGCAACTTTTTGAGATCAGAACTGGGCCTCTGAACAATCACCGTCTACTGGCCATAGGACTGCACTGCCCACCAGCCATGACTTCAGATTTAAAACCAAGATAGTAAAAAAGAAATGCTCATGATAAAAAAGGCTGGGCCTACCTTATCAGTAGGTCGAAAAGGCTCCTTAATCTGTTTACATTTTCTTGGTATCATGTGGGTCTCAAAATGCACCAGTCGATATGGTTCTGATTTCAAGAAAGTGGTGAGCCAGTGAGCCACCTCATCTCCACAGTCATGTCCTTGAACATCAAGCCCAAAAACCCTGTTGAAGAGTATAAAGTAGACTCAGGTGTTCCATGATAAATTTACCTCCCCTACTTCCTCTGAAAAATATTTCAGGTCAAACGTTTCTTAATTGTTGGTCCCAATACACCACATTTAGCTTTCTCAGCTAAATACAAGTAGAATAAACATTCCAAATTAGATCTCTCTAGGGCAGGTATGGTAACTTGCAGCCTTCCAGATGTTTTGGCCTATGGCTCTCATCAGTTTTAGCCAACAAAGACAGTGGGGAGAGAGGTTGAAAGTTAAAGGCTGGAACTATTTGAGGCCACCAACTGCTGACTCCTGCTCGAGGGCATCTGAAAATTTTTCAAAGCAAAGTGAACTATTTCCTACCTAATCAGTACTGGAAAATTTTCCTATGAACAATCCCCAGTACACCCACATCACTGCCTGATACTCCATGCAGAAAGTCCAGAGGCCACAGCACACACAATTTTCACTCTCCCACAAATCCACACCACTGATGGAGTCTCAGGTAGAGCATGCAGCATGATTAGCTGGTTGAACACAATATCTGATACCAGCTCTATCCCGTGCCTCAAAATTCAGGAAGAGGAGGGACAGTGCTCATTAAGAGATGATAAAAGGATTTTCCCATCCCTTTTCAGTGTTAGGTGGGTTTGGGCAAGTCTTAGATAATCCCACAAATATGTAAGATTGGGCAGCAGACCCTGGAATTTATCCTGCATAATGAGGACTGGTGTATCTTATACATCCACATGAGCATTACCAATTGAGTTTCCAAAGAGAAGTCCTAGAACGGTTGATAGCAGATTATTTCATCCTTTACTGACCTCCTGAGTCACATCATTACAAAAGTTAAGGGTGTTTGTTTCCAAATATCAAATGCTGGTCCTCAAGTGAGCTGTTGCCTTAGTATGTTTTGTCTTAAAAATATGGCAAGGAGAAAAACAGTATATGAAAACAGCATTTTGCACAGTACAACAAGGAAGAGAGTCTAAAACCTCCTCATTCAGCACCTGCAATTCTTCACAGGATTTTTCCTAGGGACTTTGACAGGGATGGCCAATTCCTTCATTTCTGGAGCTTTCAGGATTAAGTGGCCATTTTCAGAATATACAGAAACCAGAACCAATCGAGGCTCCTGCCGAGCTGTGACCATGCGTCCATCTTCCTTAATTACAAGCCAAAACCTGTTGATAGATATGAAGAGGGATGTTAATCATTTAGACATCAACTGCTGACAAGGCATGACAAATACCTTAATAGGTGGAGAGGCCATGGTCTTGCAGAATCAAATTTGTTTTTGATTTTCCTAGAAGCTCAAGGTACAAAAACTAGACCTAGTAGCAAAATGGTTACTTGGGAGTGGCAGATAGATTCAGAATGATGGATCAAGGAACACAACTAGTTACCTACTACACATCATGAACTATTATTCACTAGGGTAGCCTGCTTCTACAAGCACCAAATCCTACAGAGTTCCTACAGATCAGGAATTCTAACACAAATTCCATAACTTTTCCCGTAACTTTCCAGAGCCACAAAAAGACCAGGACAAAGACAGCAGATTATTTTTTTCAATTTTATTTTGCAAGTGAGAAATACTGAGGCTGATGAAAAAAGCAATTCCTTCAAGCCAAACTACAGCAGAGATTTCTTTGCTTTTACTTCATTTTTACACACTGTTGCTAAAATTCAAGACTCTGTCTTTATGTTCTGCAGCAAATTACCCAGAGATCTTCTACTAGATCCCAAACTAGCTTGGGTTTATCCCCATTTTAACATATTACCAAAGGAAGTACATTTGCTCTGTCAATTGCTTTTTCACATTTGCTATCCGAATATGGTTTCTGATGAAGTTTTGTTGCTTATCACATTCCTTGCATGCAGTTATGTGCGCCTGAGTAATTTGATTGATTTAGTTCACTTGGAAGTTGCTATTCCAGTCCATATTTCTGGAATACATACTCTTGTCCAGAATGGACACTTAACGTGGCTCCTGTGGAAGTCTTCTGAGTTACGTTTCCTTGCTGTTGGTTCTTTTCTGTGCTGAATGGTGTCTCTATATTCCTCTTTTTCTTAAGGCGTATTACTTGTTTAAAGCGCTCCTGATGTTCAGTGGGTGGTGAAAGGGAAAACACTCAATAAGCACTAAGCTTCTTAAGTTATAACATACCACTGAATTTATAGTACCTGCAGTACAGTTTGGTGCCTGTTGACTCAACAGTAACTATTACAATACTCAGCAAGGCTTATTCTCACTGTGTTTAGCATTGCAGTGCATTCCTGTGTACTCAGAAAGAAGTCCCCCTGAGTCCAATGGGGCCTAATTCCAAGAAACCGAGTACAGCATTGCACCTATGTGGCTTAGCAACCCATATCTTAATGTAACTAAGCTAAAGTACAAGCATTTTTTACCTTCATATGTCACCTTTCCTCCAAGAAATCCAAGAAGATGTAAATGATCATCTTCCTTTCCCTGTTATCCTCACAAAAAGTCAGCACATATTTGGCCCTGCTTACCCATGCTATTTCCTATGATGGAGCATTATAAACACAGGGATGGATGGATGGATGGATGGATGGATAGATAGATAGATAATAAATAAGCAAGACAGACAGACAGACAGACAGACAGAAATCTTCTATGAGTTTACTAGAGCAGGGTGTCTATATGCTTTCAGCCTAAGGGCTGAACTTCAGTTGGAAAAGCTCTAGAGTGTTTTGTGGCTGATGGACTCTAGCCCACACACACTTCCAAACAGAAAACACACTTCCAAACAGAAAAGGGGACTACAGCTCCCAGAACTGGTTAAGGCATGCTGGGCGCTATAAGCCCCTTTTCTGTCTGATTGTTCTCATCTCTACCATGCAGTTGTGAACTGGCTCACTTGGGAAGCTGTTGTTCCTGGCCCTTTTTCTGGAATACTGTTGCCCAGAATGGGTACCAAAACACAGTTACTGTGGAAATTTTCTAGCTTATCGCATCTCTGTCAAGTAGTTATGCATGACCTGTAACTTTGGTTGGTTTGGACACTTAGAAGTTGGGGTTCCAGGCCATTCAGTTCTGTTCTATTTAATTCATTTCTACACCACGAAATAGTTGAAACTCTCTAGGCAGCAAACAGCAGTTCTGGGTAGATTCTAGGCATTACTGGGCTAACAGTAATATAATATTGCAATGGTTTTAGTCTAGAAGTAGTGTTCATATGTCTTTTTTTCTTTTCTCTCTCATTTTGACATAGGACCTACTGTGGGCCATTCTGTTCCTGGGGGTTTTACATCTTCCCTGAACACTGGAAACAGGAGGGGGCAGCCAACTAGGCTGAGCCCCAAATCTCTGGGCAGTCACCTGCTTAAGTAAATCTCTGTTGCATCTGATCCCCCTGGATGAGTGGGCTTTTGGCCCACAGGTGCTTCACCTCTGGTGGGCCCTCTTTTTCTGAAGACAAATGCTCTCCTCCCGGATTTGTATATCTCTCTACAAACAGGGGTATCTTTTACAAACTTCAAAGCTTTAAGCTTAAAGACTTTAAAGCTTATATAAAACTGCAGGTGAAAATTTACACTTTTTTTTGGCCCTGTGCGCCTGAACCCCGGACTTTTCACTACCGCGCTCCTCTGCACGTGGCTACCCAACCGGGTGAAAGTTTGCGCCCATCACAGGTAGCGATCAAAGGGCGCCCAGGGATCCGCAGCCTAGAACGGCATATTGTTTGCTGCGATCTGTTCGTTAGTCGTTAAGGTGCCGCTCTGCTATATTTTGGGGTGGATTCAATCCAGAGAAAGAGGGAAAGAGCGCGCAAACCAGCGAGAGACCGCGCGTCTCCTTGCTCGCCTCCGGACAGGAGCTGGAGCGCCGGGTCGCGCGCTCCGCCTCCCGCTTGCATGCCGTCCTTTGGCGCCCGCCACCGCCTGCCCCCATTACCTGTCGCGCATGTCCCCGCTCCGGAGGCCCATCGCGGTCACCTCGGCGCGGTCCACGGGCACCCCCCGGCAGGACTTCACCGGGTAGATGACGACGTCCGCCACGGTCCCCACTTGCACCAGCTGCCGCCGGCCTCGGTGCCTACGCCGCCAGCGCCAGGCCGCGGCGGCCCCCAGCGCCAAAAGAGCCGCAGAGGCGCACAGCCAAGCCAGGCGAGAGGGAGGCAGCGACCCCGGCACGGAGAACCCCGCAGCCATGGCTGCAACGCGAAGGGGACGGCGTCGCGCAGCAGTCAATGGCTCGGAGGCGGGCCTGGGCCGAGCCAGCCTCCTCCGCGCCGTCCCTCGCCAGCCTCGCGCCTGCCTGAAGGCCCCGTCCGCGCGCCGGCGTGCTGCTGGGCCCCGCAATGCTATTTGCGCTGGCTGACTTCGCCAGCTGCGCCTTTTCTTGCAGCGTGGAGGAGTCGGCTTGCAAGAGCGTTCTGCTTTAGGAATGCACTTTATTACTTCTTTAGTGCGATTGCCCAGCTTTCTTCAATAAAGATAATTGTAAGCTGCCCAGAGAGCTTTCGGTACTGAGCGGTATAGAGATGACATTAGTAATAATAATAAAACCATGTTCTTAGTCATAGGTAAGTACTACCGTTTTCTTTGGTACTGAATACAATACAAACTGCTTGAACACTGTGCTCCTTTCCTGCTGGGTCTGCCAAAATACTGGTTCTCTAATAGGCCTTGTTATCCACAGTGGTATGTGGGACTTTGTACCTGCTCTAATTCTGTCACTTCGAAAATCCCTTCGGAGCTACTCTCACTACAGATAACTCAAACAGGAGATAAACATTAACTGGCATGGACATCATCTTCCCCAGCCGCCCTCACCGCTCTCCAGTTCCAGTACTGAAGACAGCTTCCAGGCATAAAAGTGCTTTAAACACTGTTTTTGTTCCAGTTGGACATTCCTGATTCATATGCTGTATTATCTAGTTCCAGGATCCTTCTCAGTACAAAAATATGTGTATCATACACATACAGCTCCTTCAAGGATCACTGCCTTGTCGTCGTGAAGGGGCTTGCATAGCTCAATGAAGCTATGAGCTATGCCATGCAGGGCCACCCAAGACAGGTCATAGCAGAGAGCTCTGACAAAATGTGATCCACCGGAGAAGGAAATGGCAACCCACTCCAGTATCTTTGCCATGAAAACCCCATGGACGGTACCAAAAGGCAAAAGATATGATGCTGGAAGATGAGCCCCTCAGGTCAGAAGGTGTCCAATATGCTACTGGGGAAGAGCAGAGGACTAGTACTAGTAGTGCCAGAAAGAATGAAGCAACTGGGTCAAAGCCGACAGGACACTCAGTTGCAGGTGTATCTGGTGGTGAAAGGAAAGTCCGATGCTGCAAAGATCTATACTCCATAGGAAACTGGAATGTAAGATCCATGAATCAAGGCAAGCTGGACGTGGTCAAACAAGAAATGACAACACTGAACTGCGACATCTTAGGAATCAGTAAACTAAATGGACAGGAATGGGTGAATTTAATTCAAATGACCATCAGGTATACTACTGCAGGCAAGAATCCCTCAGAAGAAATGGAATAGCCTTCATAGTCAATAAAAGAGTAGAAAAAGCAGTACTGGGATGCAATCTCCAAAATGACACAATGATCTCATTTCGAATCCAAGGCAAGCCATTCAACATCACCGTAGTCCAAGTCTATGCCCCAACCACTGGTGCTGAAGAGGCTGAAGTTGACCAGTTCTATGAAGGCTTACACCTTCTAGAATTAACACCAAAAAATGATGTCCTTGTCATCATGGAGGATTGGAATGCTAAAGTAGGAAGCCAAAAGATAATTGGAATAACAAGTTTGGCCTTGGAGTACAAAATGAAGCAGGGCACAGGCTGGTAGAATTTTGTCAAGAGAATATGATGGTCATAGCAAGCACTCTTTTCCAACAACCCAAGAGATGACTCTACACATGGACATCACCAGACGGTCAACACAGAAATCAGATTGACTAAGGGACTGCAGGTGGCGCAGTGGTTTAAACCACTGTGCTGCTGAGCTGGTTGGTCGAAGGGTCGCTGGTTTAAATCTGCACAATGAGGTGAGTTCCCGTTGCTCCATCCCAGCTCCTGCCAACCTTGCAGTTCAAAAGCATGCAAATGCAAGTAGATAAAAAGGTACCACTTTGGTGGGCAGGTAACAGCGTTCCATGCACTTCGGTGTTTCGTCATGCCGGCCACATGGCCACA